AGAGAGAGAGAGAGAGAGAGAATGAGAATGAGAATGAGAGAGAGAGAGAGAGAGAGAGAGAGAGAGAGAGAGATGTAATTAACACGGTCGTTTCCCCATGTAATCCCATCCGTGTATATAATTATATTCAGAGACGAATGTACGAAGCAATATAGAAGGAGATTGTATAAATATACCTATATATATATATATATATATATATTCCTTCTTTCTTTCTTTCTTACTTTCTTTTTTCCATTCCTTGTCCATTCATTATTTCTTTCATTCTTTTTTCTTTTTCTTTCTTTCTTTCTTTTTGTTGTTGTTGAATTGTCATCCAACTTTCCACTTCATCTTAAGCTTCTCTATCATCTCCCATTTCATCAGTTCTCCTTTCTCCCCTTCTTTATCCAGTCTCCCAGTTACGTGTTCGGTCCAGGAGCAGAGGAAGGTCGCCAAGAGAACGCGCAAGGCCGTGTGCTGTCTCGTCCGGTACATGGGCGTGTACAGCTTAACCATCCTCCCCGTGTGCTTGTACAACGTCCTGGACACACGGGGGATGTACAAGGAACTGGGTATCCTTATCTACTGTCCTTACTGGTCGCTCTTCGTCGTCAACACGTGGATTCACTTGGCAGACGATAAGGACTATCGCCTGGCTCTCGTGGAATTGTTGGGGAAGGTGTTCGGACAGAGGAAGTGGGTGAGGAGGAGGAGGAGGAGGAGGAGGAGGAAGCACCTGACGAGCACCCAGGTCTCCCCGTCGTGCTTGGTGGCCCACCTTCGGAGTTCGTCCTTGGTGTCTCTCATGCCCTCGGAGGGATACGCGCCGTCTACCTCGTCCTCCTCGTCCTCCTCCTCCTCCTCTTCCTCCTCCTCCTCGACCTTCTCTCCGTCCCTCCCTCCCTCTGCTCTCCCTCGACGCTTCCTGCCTTCCCCACCCTTTTCCTCCTCTCCTCCCTCGTCCTCCTCCTCCTCCTCCTCTCCCCCAGCAGTCTTCGCCCCCGAGGCTTCCAAATGCTCCCGGGCCTTCGTCGCTTGCTCTCTCCCCGCCCTCGCTGCTGGCCTTGTGGGCGGCGGAGGCGAAGGAGGCGAAGGAGGCGTGGCAGAGCAAGGGCGCTGTAGGGCGAGGCGACAACAGCTCCTGCAGATCAACGTTGCGAACTTCTTTCCGAAACTCGGTCTTCCTCCTGTGGCTTCGTTTACAAAATCTACGGCAACAGTATGAGAGAGAAGAAGAAGAAGAGGAAAAAGAGAGACAGAGGGAGAGAGGGAGAAGAAGAGAAAGAGAGAGAGAAGAGAAAAAGGGAGAGAGAACGTGAGAAAAAGAGAGAGAAGAAGAGAAAGAGAGAGAGACACACATAATAGAGAGTGAGAGCAAGAGAGAGAGAGAGAGAGAGAAGATAAAGAGAGAGAGTGAGAGCAAGAGAGAAGAGAGAGAGAGAGCAAGAGAGAATTATGAAAGATTTTGCCTTTTTTCTTCATTATCTTTTTACTTGCTGCTTAAATGTTGTATCTATAAATCAAAGCTTGTTATTTCTATATACTTGTAGCGATGTATTGCTAATTACGTCATGTGTATATACAAAACACCTGTTAAGATGTAATTAACTATTCCAATGAAGATTTGTAAATATATTGCTTCTGAACTATGGTTTTTTAAACATTCCTTTCCCAGATTAATTATATAAATATATCTTTACTGAAACATACATTTACTCATTTCGATCGCTATCATGATAAATATCGGAATAGTTATATTAAGAAAACGTAGTGCAGTGTGTCATATATATATATATATATA